TCCCTGCTCCTGTTCCACATCCGGCCAGCAAACGTTGCAGCACGGCCGATGCTCTTGCCAGATGTTGGCGACGTCGTCGGGAAGGCAAGCAGGCCTTCATTGTCCGGGGTACGCATGCCATCGCCATGGGCGAGGAAGCCGCTGTCGGGTGGGGTAGCGACAAGTGCAGAGTCGTCCGAACTGCTCATGCTCATCGATATCGAAAGTCGTTTACCGGCGTTTGAGACGGACTTCTTGAGGGTGCCATAGAATTTGCCACCCTTGGCTGGTGGCGTGGGTGGGACGTCGACTTCCGGGATCGGCGACGGAGGCACGGGCAAGATGGTCGGCGCGGCTGACATGGTTTCCGAGGAGGTACGAACCGAGTCAGCGCTCTGACTGCGAGAGCCGTTGTGGATTCTTGGGATTCGGAAGACGCGTTTATGGCGTTTCTGGCTGGGAATGCTCGGGACGCGCGAAAGCGGCTCGACTTCTTGCTGTACAAGAATCAGTCAACGAACAATATGAGAGGCATTCTGCTCACCTCTTGAATGTCGGGAACCTTGGGTTCAGGCGCCGGAGACGGAGCTGGTGTCGGATGCTCGCTGGGGAGTTCCCCAGTAAGGAGATGCTGTTCGAGCATTGCTGCACCTTGCATGAGATCGGCAAGGTCGGCGACAGAAAGCTCGGGAATGTCAGCCTCGGCAGGTTGGACCTGCATCATCGAAATGCGCTGCCGCGGAAGCGAAACGGAACGAGGAGCGGCCAAAGTGGGCTCTGTCTTGCCATGTACGCGGACACTGTAGCTTGATGCCTTGGGTAGTATCGGTGGAGGTGACGGTATCTTCCCGAACTCGTCGACGTCGTCGGGCAGAGTGTATGACGCCTTTGCAATTGGCTGAGCTGCTGCAGGCGGAGGGGAGGAAGCGAATTTGCCGTCGCCGCGGGATATGGGGGTTGGCGGCGTTTGAACAGCCTCTGGCTCTTGCGTGAGAGCACGAGCTGTGAACAGAGGTGACTCCACGGGCGGCGGGGTGGGATCTTTGCGAGTAGGGGGAGGGGAAGAAGGTGATAAAGCCAGCGAGGCTCGTCGCGAAGGTGGGTTCGAAGAGTTCTACATCGAGATTAGCATGTTTGCGCAAGACGAGGCATGTTACGCACCCATGAAGACACACCGGTCACTTGAGGGGACAGAGGATTAGGTGGAGGGGAGTTTGTCGGGGGACTGGGAGGGGTCTCCAGCTTAAACATACATCAGCTACAAAGAAAAAATCTCGAAGATGGACGACGCACTACACGAGACCATCGTCTGCCAGTTCCTCGTACCGCAGGTGGCTCTTCCGTCTGGCTCTGAGCACGCGCCCAGTCCAGTGCTGCAAAACTCCCACCCGTCTTCTGCTCGCGTATTGGTGTGAAGCTGCCGCCAGTTTTCTGCTCGCGCAGAGGTCCAAAGCTGCCGCCAGTCTTCTGTTCGCGTACGGGAAGGGGACTACCGGTGGTTCTATCGTCGCGCAGCGGTGCAAACGTGCCGCCCGTCTTCTGTTCACGCAGCGGTGCTGGACTTCCACCAGTCTTCTGCTCGCGTATCGGCGCTGGACTCCCTCCCGTCCGTTGCTCTGTGAGACCCACACTACCGCCCGTCTTCTGCTCTTCTAGCGGCTTCTCCAAGTGCTTCCCGCTCGGAATCCGATTCCCGTAAAGTTCGCCACGTCGACTCTCCGTCTGGATTTCCGGGTTCGGTGTCGGTGAACCAAACGATCCTTTCGGCACTGGGACAAAGCCTGCTTTTTCGAAAGCGTCGATTTTGTTGCGCAGGACGCCAGAGCTGGGCTGGGGGCTGACGTTGGAGGATGTGTTTGTCGCGTTACGGGCTTGCAGCGCTGCGATGCGCTCCTTCAAGGACATCTGCGGGGGTGGGACAGGCGCCCTAGATGTCGTAACCGTCAGAAAAAATACGCTATAAAGGCCAGGAACGCGTACATGATTTGGCTATTAGTCGTCGTTCAAGATAGATGGATGTCGCGCTATCAGACGACCAGCATCGGGCGCGGGCAGCGAAGCACGGTAGAGAGCGTGTTGGATGTGAAAGCTAGATAAAATGGACACAACGTCGCCGGAGAATATGCTTGAAATGATGGTGGAGGGACAGAAGGTACTAATTCGTGCCGAATCCTCCGATCACCGCCTGTAACGTGGTAACCACCAGCATCGAGACTATCAAGCTCATCTGTAGCGCGGACAGTACGCTTCGTTATACGATGTATGTACCTCGAGGCAAAATACGACAGTTCAAATTCGCCGCGGAAGCCTGTGGTTAGACGGAGCCCTACGTGCACTCTTCGCCCACTCAGTTTCTCAGTGTTCACAGATGATCAAAATTGCTGGCTGAATAATTCCCGTCGAGGCCGCTAAACAATGGGCGGAGAAGCATCCGAAAGCTTTCGCTGAGATCTACCAAACATGGTGGAGCGTCCCAGCCTTTCCTCTGAGGAGTTTCATACGCGCGACGCGACGCTCCGAAGACGCCAACTTCCCTGTTCAGCAGGGCCATTTGACTACTGTGGACTTCCCAAAGGTGCGTGACCTGCACACTCATACCGTAGTGGCTCACTCCATCCATCCATAGACCAGCCCCGAGACGTTTGCTACAGGTGTATGCATCCTTGTACGGCGTGTCGGTCGATGGCGGACAGAGATGTGGGATAAGTTCAATCTCATGCTACCTACCGACGCGGACATAGCTGTTGCAGAAGTCTTGTCGAAGGACGGACTTGTTTTGGGTGACTACCGGACCCATGGCAGGAGGCAGTAGTAGCCCTTTGAGAGGCGGCATCCTGGACGAATGCCAGCGCTAGACCCAAATGTTGATCTAGATGTGATCTAATTGCAGAATTTCGAACGTCTTTCTCACCTGTATCTCAACGCGCATGACCGAGAGACGTCTTGGTATGTCCATCAAGCTTTACGGTCTCTAGTCATTTCATCCGCACCCTTGAACGTGTCCGAGCAGCATCGCACTTCATTTCTCACGGAGACAGAGTGCGATTGAACCCAAATCCAACCCTTCCAGTGCTTCGTTTGTATAATTGAAGATGAGAAACCATCCCCACAAACTTGATTGCTCTTCCAATACGGTTAGGCCCTTTTTCGAGGGTCCAACGTTCGACATTGACTCCGGTATATATCTAGATGTGCTAACCCAAGAACCTTTCACACCAACAGCCATGTCCCGACCCATCCCCGCGTTCTTCGCGGCTCGTGGCTGGCCTTACGATCCCACAAAGGACACTATGCGCCAGTTCCAAGACCGCACCCATGTCTTCGACAGAGATAGGCGAAAGGAGGCGCGAGAGGAGCTTCGAAGGGCGGTAAAGGCCCAATTCACAAGCGCCTACGGTGCGGACATGAACGACATTACCTCATGGCACAACTTGCTCGACGTCTTGCGCGTCGAAGAGAAGCCAGATAACCTCGCTCGGTGCAGACAGGTTCGTCATCACTTCACTCCCTTTCCCGTGCGATGAACACAATGGTCGCATTCAGCTCGTTCGAGGAATCTACGTGAATATCTATGACCTCGTGGACTACTCGATGGACATACTTTCTCATGAAGACGGCCTGCTTCTCCATGCCACCGAGCGCGAGCTTAGCGAGTATACCAACGCAAGATCGAAGTACTACCCAGAACAGGAGGCACTCGACAATGGCCTGCTCCGCTTTCTGCTTCGCCGTATTATACATCCAAGAGATGAGCCTGTCCCCATGTCCCAACCCATCCCTGTGTTCTTTACGGCTCGCGGATGGCCGTACAATCCCAGGAAGGACACTATGCGCCAGTTTCAAGCCTGTATGCATCGCTTCGGCAAAGATGAGCGAAATGAGGCGCGAGAGGAGCTTCGGAGGGCAGTAAAGGCCCAATTCACAAGCGCCTACGGCTCGGACTTGGACAACATCACCTCGTGGCACAGCCTGCTCGACGTCCTGCGCGTTGAAGAGAAGCCGGATAAGCTCGCACTGTGCAGACAGGTTCGTCGCTATTGCGTTCAATTTCCCGTGCAATAAATACAACTTCAGCTCGTTCGAGGAGTATACGTGAATATCTATGACCTTGTGGACTATTCAATGGGCATAAGGTCCACCGGCCAGCACGGCCTACTTCTCCATCCCACCGAGCACGAGCTTAGCGAGTATACGAACGCAAGTAAAAAGTATTACCCGGAACAAGAGGCACTCGATAATGACCTGCTGCGTTTCTTGCTTCGCAGCATCAGAAATTCAAGGAATGAACCTGTTCGAGGCGGGCGAGGTAGCGGACACGGTCGAGGGAACAAACACGGTCGAGGGAGCGGACGTGATCAACGTGGGCAAAAGGGCGGGCGTGTACGCCTTCGCGGCTGACTTGGGAATTAGCAAATACGCACAAACAAATGTATGCAACAGCAGTTCAAAATTATGCCATTATTTTTTGTAGACCCCGGACATAAAGTAGAGAACCTTTCTACTTTCTGCGGAGGAGAGGACGGAGCAACAAAGACATGAGATAGACTACACAATTTAGTTTCTCTCTGTCTTGACTGCCGACGGTACTTACTGCCTGCGTTCCACGTTTGGCGTTCGACATACGTGCATGCTTGGCAATGGAGGCGGTGGATCGTCTCTCTTCATCAGGAAAATGCTCAAGTGTAAAAGTTGACCACAAGTTGACCTGAGGACGGGACCCCAAACCTGAGTGACCTGAGTGACCTCACTTGCCTGAGTCTACCTGGTATGACCTGAGATGATCAGAATGACCTCAAGTGACTTGAAGTGACTTTGGTGACCGCAGGCAAACATGTTCTCTCAGGTCAGCCTGGTCAACCAAGGTCAGATTCCCCCACTAGCAATGACCTCAGCACCCATGGTCAACTGAAGGAGACACCAGTTGTCCAAGGGTGATATCCAAATATAATTTTTTTTTTCATGTACATGGCCAGGAATTGAACCAACAACCTGGCATAAAAATTGACAACGCACGTCTATCATGTGAACACTGGGAATTGAACCCACGACCTTAACTTTGAGTCAAGGCCTATTGCCCCTTAAGCTATATGTCCACAGATGTTGATAAGATACAAGAGTTACAATGTCGTCCTTAGACACTACCTGACATAGCGGACTGCGTCCAACATGCCCTCTGTCGCCCTTGACTGCTCCAGATTTGCAGTCTCTGTTGCTATCCAATATAGACGTGCCAAAATAGTAATAATATCAAACTAGCTACTGTACTAAACTATGTATTAAAGGTAAACGGTCTGATATGTGTATAAGCTCAACCAAGTGTTAACGTAAAAATATGTACATGTATCTAAAACCGACTCATCGGTATCCCAAACCTCTGTGGGAGTCTTGTAGAAGTCCGGTATAAGCATGCAACTCTGGCGTACATTGTAGAGTGGCACAATCGACCAGGTAGGACGCCCATGCTTGTCTAGCTGCACAGACACCGACGGCATGTTGTGGCTAGCGCGCTGGTGCTGAGTGAGCTTGGGTGGTGTGTACCAGTGGACGTAGGCAAGAGGATATCCAACGGGCCAAAACGAAGGCAAAGGGACGTCGTTGGACATAATCTTCACTGTTTTGGGCATGGTGAAGATTAGACGAACGCGGCCAATACGAGTACCTATGGACAGTGTTAGAGTCGTACCTATATACCAGAAATAGAAGCTTCACCTTGGAGGCCAACGACTTCGGCGTCGTCGTCGTTGAGAACTACCACAGTGTCGTATCGGCCACCGTTAAGTGGGCTGGCCTTCACCCAGTCGTGCTCTTCGTCCAAAGGGTCATGTAAGCCCTCTGCGGTTAGCTTGAATGAGTAGTAGACGTCGAGATGTTGGAAGGGAAGAGTGTCGCTGCGGTAAAGGGTAGGGCGTCGCGCGCGTTCATGTTCAATCAAGGAGATGTATTCGGCCAGGTGCTTGGGGAAGTCGCGAATGCCATATTCACGGGCAAGTACGCTCAGAGCTTTGCGTGGGTAGCTCGGGCGTTTGGGGAGGAGGATTTGCTGGAAGGGTTTCTTCGATGGATGGCGGATAATTGCGTGAGAGGTAGAGTCTGCAGCTGGGGAGGAGGTGGAATCTGCGGCATGAGAGGAGTTGGGGTCGGAGGTGGGTGTAGTAGCTGCTTGCGCGCGAGCCTTGCGTTTAGCTTTGAGAGCCTTGCGTCTAGCTGGGCGTGGCATTAATGGTCTGCGTCGTTGTACAACAGAACAGAAAGCGTACATACCAATTTCCTTTGGCACCCACTCAACAAAGTGCTCGAAATCATGCACCGTTTCTTGTCGCGTTACCCACTCAGTCATCTGAGGAAACTCGTCCCGCCGGTTGGACGCGCGCCAGCCGTTCTTCGCAAATTCGATGTGAAGTCTTTTGAACATCTCGGTATTGAAGTTATTTGTCGTCCCAAAGAGGCGGATGCCGTCGACGTAGTGGGTCAGGGAGTGTATCTTGGGGATAAGGAAGTCTTCACGGATATTGAGGTCCAAGAAGATATGCTTGTTCTGGCGCCATGAGTCCAAAGCACTCTCCATGTAGCCCAACGTTGTGTCATCGTGTGTAGGGTATTGTGCAAGGTAGACGAAGTCTAGAAGGGCGCGGCACGCAGTCACAGCAGCGCGAGGAAGTACATCATGAACGCAGCCAAGTAAAATCTTAGCCATGTTTTTCCTCTCGGTTCCACTGATCTGGGAAAGTGCGCTAATGCCATTCTTGAAGTGGCGAAGGCCAAAGGCAGGTGGAAGGCGACGTATCCGACGGTCGAGCTCCTTCTCAGTGAGTAGCTTCTGGCACCAAGCGATGAGGTATTTGATGAGTCCTTGATATAGCTGATGGAGAACGTCTGGGGTTTGAGAGACGTGGATGTTCGTGAAAGGGAGGTTTTCCCAGAAAGGGTTAGGTACGTTGCCGTTAACGGACGCATCTGCGCAGAAGTCGATGTATGCTGTGATGGAGGTAGTAGAGTCTGCAGCTGCTTGCATAGTATCGAGGGTGGTGTCGGGGGTGCGCAGGGCGTGAGGGTCATCGTCGTCGAGGTCCAGTGGTCCTGCCTGACACTTGGGGCACGAACCGTACTTGCTACATGTAACAAGACACTGTTCTGGGTAGTCGGCCACATAGGCGGCCAAGATAGGATGAACACGGCGGACAATACCGTCGCCACTGGTCATGTCCACACAGGCCTAGCTGTAGTTTCTGAGGGTGGATCAAAGGTTGTTTCCTTGAGGTTGTTTACAGTTTCCAAAGCCTACAACCTTGCCCAAAACATGGCAGAGCTCCATAAATTCGGTTGCAAATGCCATGTGCGCCTGCGGCCGGATTTTTTTTACACTTTTACTTATTTTCCTTCAAAAATGGAGCATTTCCCAAGTAGGACCGCTTTCCCACGGTCCTTAAAGTGTCTGGTATCCTTTCTCCCTATGCCGCCGCACATCAATCTTCGCATCACAATCCCACGATCCCCGCCCTCTTGCTTTCCACTCCGCGGACCGATCACGCGTCGGGCCGCTCACCAAAACATCGCGCTCGTCGTGTGGCGCATTTTTTCGCGAAATTCCTAATTATCTCTCAAGGGGCAACCAGTTCATTAGCGCTGGAATACGCCGCTTGCATCGTATTTGAACGACGAAATATGTACCATATTGCATACATTTGTCTACACATACAGAAACGTAGCGTCAACGGCGGCTAGCAGA